GATTTTTCTTGCAGGAAAAGCCACGTGAAGAGATGGCGTGGATGCCTTTTCTTCATTCTCCCAAAGCAATTTGACAGTGAACGAGCTGTAGAGACTTCAGGCATTCCTGACCCTACAGACTGGAGGTGGACACCCAAGTATCTCATAGTATCTCTTTCCAGTTCATTGGAGAATACGATTGGTAGGGGCTCCTGGCCTTACTACTAGGAGCAAGGACGCTTGACGCATCTTGAAGCTCACCGTGGGTCCCACGCCATCAGCCCACCGTCCATCCAGGCCTCGCAAGGGTCCCTCTATCCGGGCACGGGGTGCGGGCAGCACAGTCGGGCCGTGGAACCGGTGGGTCGTGGGTCGTGGGTAGAAGCTACCAGAAATGTAGCTGGTTACTACGTAGTAGCTTCTTGTTACTAAGTAGAATTGCACTTATAGTTACTATAGCGAATGGTTTGGAGACCGAGGATCGCCCACGGACTTTTTGGTCCAGCGAAGATGTTCGACCCACCTTTGACTAAATTCTTCTGCCAAGCCGGTCTTGCGGATGTGACGTCTTCTTCCTGAAGGGAGAACATATAAGAAAAGCATCACACAAGCCAAGCCAGTCAGAATCTCATGTGTTTCAGGGGCTTTTCTATTCCCACTTTCGAAGGCCAGGGACCAGCATCAGTCCCCTTTGGCTCTCTGTAGATCGGGGATCGTTCACAGCGAATCGCTTCAGGTCCGTGCAGGTGCCACAGCCGATGCTGCACAGCGCCTCTCCACGCAGGCGCCACGGGCTCCGAGGGATGGGAACGACACCAGCGGATTCAGGAGGATTTGAGCGGAGTTGAAGCTGTTACACCTGCCTGTCCTGCGTGCGAAAGCCTGAAGCTGTTACAGGATATGCTGCGATCAGGTGATAAGAATCATTGGACAGATATGCTGCACCTGTTGTTTGTTCTGTTCATTGTGAATGGAAGAAGTTCCGCAACATGAAGTCCTTCACAAGCCACACAGATGACAAATGTTCTCCTCCTGTAAGATTTCAAGCACATGATCTACCAGCAAATGTACTGTCAGATGCACCGAGCATCAGGTCAGGGTCATCATGGCTTATTTGAAGCTTTCAGCTTTGGACCCCTCGACCGGATCTGTCGGCTGGTATTGAGAAATTTAATTACTGTAACATCACAAGCGATGGCCTCCACCCTAGTAGCGATGCCTCCAACCTAATAGTGTCCTTGCCCCTAGTAGCGATGCCAGGAGCCCCTAGTAGCTTCTTGCTCCTAGTAGTAAGGCCCCTAATAGCGTCCTTGCTCCTAGTAGCGATGGCCTCCAACCTACAAGTAATGGACCAAGGCCAAAGGTTTGGTGATCGTATCCCAAGCCTCCGCTTCTCGCATCCAAACACCACGCCTCCAAACATCACGCCTTTTTTCCTCGCGCGTGTGATCTAAAACGAAGTGACAGAAAGAAAATCAACAACAAAACGAAGGGGAGTTGTCATGCGTCCACACAGAGAATTCTGGAGCCACTCTACAGCTGCAGCTTGGACAACACGATTCCGCCCGAGGTCACCATCGTTGCCACAGCCGATCTCCCCACAGCCCGTCACTGGTCCGGTGATCGCGAACATGACAGGACCTGGATGGAGAAAAGCCAATGAATGATCTAGAGTCTAGAGAAGCGTAGGACGAAAATGCAACTTCATCAGCCTTCTCAGTACACTCCTCTCGTCATTGTGCTTGTGGTATTTGAGACCATTCTGAAGGCTCGAGCGAACACATGGGTAAACAACTGAGTAATTGACCGTGTTTGACCTGAACAAAAAGACTTAGATCTGGGCCTTCTCACAGCGGATGAGTGTCATGTTGCCGACAGAGACGAGTCACGTGGGACACCTGTCTCTCGTCGCTCGCGTCGCTTGAGTCTCTCGCTGGCCTGGAAGGACCATTTCAGGTGCCCAACACCGTGAGGAGATGCAGAGAAGAGTGAATGAAGACGTGAACAACCGAAGGATATAGCCGTTAATATTATAACCCCAAACCTCCATACAACTTCTTCCTGGGTCAGAGCTACCCAAAGGAAAAGAAACCTGGTTTGGTCTCCCAAATGCAGGCACTTGAAAAAGGTACATGGTCCCATATGGTCCCCTTATGTCCCCTTGTTGTTATATGGTATGTCGGCAAACGATGTTTCAAGGGGAGCTTCTCCAATGGCTTCACGTTGCTCTCACACGAACCGCTGGAGACACACGAATGTTGCTCCCATCGCAGGACACACCTCTCTGCCCTGCCCGCAGGGGCCGCGGCACAAACCTTGCCGCCGGGGTTCGCAGAACCAGCAAACCAACACGGATTATGTATTTATTTACTGTATTTATAACTATAATATAAAATATGTATATATATATATACTTTTTTTAAAGGCCGTTATGGGGGTTGGCCCCGAGGGAAGGAAGGTTGCTTGCCTACTATTAAATATTAGGTACTGGACGCAGGATAGCTCACGCTTCTTCAAGGAAGCTCCGCCCGCCTGACACTGGGGTGAGCTTCCTTGAAGAAGCGCTCGCACTAATCAATCATCATGTTCCTACGTGTTATTTGAGTTTTCAGGGCTGGTTTTCTGGTGGGTTCTGGTGTCAATCCTTTCAGAGGAGGATTTGCCAACGAGAACATCCTGATTTGATGCTTCCTTTCCAGGGTAGTGCAAAGCTTCTGTTCTGGTCATCAAAGAAAACTCTCTTCGAATAAGACGCAACTGCAACAGTTCAAACCATTGGCTTCATGAATACCCTGGGGTCTTCATTGTCGAACCAAGTTTCTGAAGAGCATCTATATAATATATTATATTGACTATAAATTGTTGACTTGAGTATTTAGGAGCCTTATATATGTCTGCTGTTTTCTCTTCCAAACTGCACCCTGGAGACTTGCTCGGAAGTGCCCTTTGCCAAGCCGCCTCACATCCCTCTCAGGGCTCATTTGTCAGCCATGCCGGCTGCGCAAGCGAAAACCATGCCAGCGCACGGGGTCTCAGTGGGTCAGAGAATAGGAGACATTGAGGCTGTTGGGGTGGGCGAAATGGACAGGTGCGGAATGAAACGCTTTTCTTTCTTTCAGAAGGGGCCTTTGCTTTCAACCGCTTAGCGTGCATTTCGTTGTAGACATCAGCACTGGGAAGCCTACAAGCAGCTGGATGTTGGGTACCTACAAGAAACCTGTATTACGATGGCAATGGCCGGTCACTACCAACTGACAGCTTGGACCACTTCCAACAAACCAATCGGGCTTATATAAAGATCATGAAAGTAACTGAAAACGGGCTGCTGGACCACTTTCATACTAAAGCAAACTCATGGACGCGATGGTGGAGGTTGTGGTTTCTGCCAAGACGTTTTGCATTGAACCGTTTTCTTTCACAAAGATGCCCTCCCCGTCGCCCCAGTCCTGCCAGATGCTGCTGTTTTGCTCTCATTTGATGGATGTTGGTCTCGGGGGGGCCAGTAGCTAGAAGCTACTAGTAGCAAGGGCATCGCTACTAGTAAAAAGGGCAGTACAACCAGTAGCTACTTGTTACTAGTAGCTTCTAGCTACTAGTAGTAGTGCCCTTGTTACTAGTAGCGATGCCCTTGCTACTAGTAGCTTCTAGCTACTGTCCGCTCCAGGGAAGTGCGAGACCGAGGTATTTGACCATGCCCATGCGATAGTCGGTGTGGCTGGAACCTCAGAGTCCTTTCTCGGGAGTTCGTGTTGGCCAATGATCACAACATAATCACATATAACTCAATATCGTGGAGACAGAAGTGGGAGGTTTCACGAGGTACTTCAAACATATGCAACCGTTTTCGCTTGACCTTCGGATGCAAACACCATCAAAGACCTGTAAACACTGTAATATTATATATATGCATTTCTAATCTCTATATATTATATTAATTATATTATACTACATGTTAATGTTCTTGGGTTCGTCATTGAGGAAAGGGTCCGTTTGATCATTTTACACGCTCAATGCCCGATCTCGGGAGCAGGCTGTTCAAACGACAATGATTGGTCAAACATGGTCAAACCATTGACGGAGACTTGAGCCGCATCTTTTTTGGGGCGATCCCGACATCCGCCTTTGAGGTGCAAATGCCGTGGGGCCCGCTTTCAATTCAAGCCAATGATCCATTCGTAAGCCGGAGAGCGAAAAGGGGATCGACCTCGATTGTCAGGTGATCACCTTCGACTTACATCGGCACATGCTGGGTGATTCCTTCAAGTGCTTGGTGCGAGATTTCGGGGTGATTGGTCTTGTTTGGGGGAAGTGCTTCATATGCCTTCTAATTATATTGATCTCTTCATATCCCTTCAAACAATGATTGATGACTCCATGGTTCGTATCCAGAGATTCCATAATATGATTCCATGTTTCTTTCTATATCAGCCTCTTCCCTGAGGGCCAAATCGCTGCTCCTCGGGCCAAAAGCGAGCAGTTGCCAACCGTCCGGGGCATGCACTTTCAGTACCCAGATGCAACCTTTGGGCTCAGCTGGGGACACACCCAGCGTGGCAATAGACTCAATATATGGGGATAACCTCGAGCCCCAACACGATCTAGCTTGACCTTCCAGGTAGGTCAGCCAAGATCCTGGTTTTGACCCACGGCCATATTGTTAGAACTTATGTGGAAGATTTGCATGCAGTTGTTCAATGTTGTTCAACTTCATGATAAGCTTGGCAAATAGGTTTCTCAGTCCGGGTGTTTCTATCTCTTTAGTGTTTTCCGGGGATGGGAGCTGGGAGTTGGGCCGAAGAATACTAACTAGAAAGTCGTTCTAGTTTCAGCATGCTTCAGCAGAAGATCAAAGCAACTTTTAAAACCAAGTTCAGTGAACATCCAAAGTTCAATTTCGCCTGCGCCTCGGAACTGCAGCATCTACAACGGTTTCACCGACACGAGAACATGCCAAGGCTCAGGAAATTTATTCAGGGCCAACGTGTGTTTGAAATGTTTTACAGCAATTTACAGCTGTTCAGGCCTGCGAATGCTTCCACTTAAACGACCAAAGCGACTGTCTTCAAATAGCGATCGCAAAGACGCCTCGGACCAACAAGCTGCCAGGCGGGCCATGCAGCATATTTGATGCATTTGTGAGTATAGTTCTAAGATCCCCTGCCGAATAGATCCTATAGAATCTGGGAGGTCAAGCTCAAAACGACTCAGATTTTATAGACCCGTTTTCCCTAGGAGATGTCAACCTAATTACCTCAAAACAGCTAGTCTTAAAACCTGTGCATTCACATAATTGATTTTTCATGATGCCCAATAGGTTGAGCCATTCCATTCTATAGAGAAGGCATGAAAATGCACCAGATCTTATAGGGGTTGTAGGTTTTGATTTTATGGACAGCATTTGGAGTAGTAGAAGGCTGAGAATTGATTTCAGAGTGGATGGTGTGTTGTGAGGTCAGGTAGGTTGATATCTCATTTTGTAGAAAGCGCGCTTGCATTTGTGGAGGCTTGATATAGAATCAACTTCAACCTTGGATTTGTATCATTGCTTTCCCAAATTTTGGCATCAACACTTATTGAGGAAAACAATAGCTTTGCTCAAAAGGTTGAGCTGAACCATTTTATAGAGAACAGGTTCTCAGCACTGCAATAGGTTGAGATTTGATTCTATAGTGGGGCATTCTGCCCTTTGAGGTTGTTCTTTTGGTTTTATCTCTATAGACTCTTATTCTCGACATTCACCGTGAATTCCACATGGGATGTTTATTTTAGTGTGAAACACCACGTTGCAGCCTCTTGCAAACTCCAAGCGTCCTTGCAAGCTAACCGCTACTCTTCGATGTGTCACACCAGGAGTGTGACGATTCACCGATGGAACGATTCAGGTGATGGCCGGGCCTTTGGATACCAGACATTCCTTCCTGAATTCTCATGGAGGCCTCCACCTGGCGGGCGGATGGGCAGCGGTCAGCGCGCTCGTCGCTTCGTCGTGATCCGCAGCGGTGAGCGTCGCATGGGGAATTCACATCCATGCCATGGCAGGGAAACGGATCATTGCATTTAATCGCTAAAGGAGGTATTGGGAGTTGCTCATTTGGATGTTTGACGTGCTGAAATTGGCATGGGCATGGGGATAGTCCACTAAACTAGGTCACCCCTGATCCACAGGGATTTGGTGGGTGTGACCGATGAAGACACAGCATCCACCCGAAATGACCTCTCCAGCGGCTGAAGGTGTGCAGAGACCATTTGGCACGTTGCTCGAAGGTTTGGCGGTCTCACCCAACGGGGATGCAGAGCAACCCCTTTTGTTCCTCACAGTCTTCTACTCCACTTGTTTATTGGCTCAAGAAGCGTAACACCCACAAGCCTGCGAATGGAAAGTGCCCAGATCCAGAAGCAAGGCCACCACAAGTCCCGTAGATTCTTCGGCTTGATCCAGGCCCGGGAGCACGAAAGCGGCATGATTTCCAAGGCGCAAATTGAGTCTTCGTGTCGCAGAAGGTGAGCCTGTAAGAAGATCTCTAGCTTTCCAGCTCCCATCAGTGTCATTAAGTTTCTATGTTTGAGTTGCAGTTGCAGAGGGTGTCAACTTGCTCAGGATGTTCTACTGTATTTCTTGAAAGGCCGGACCAATCTTCCTGTGACTCTTCAACCGAGGTACCCATCCAGTCGCCCCACTGCGGGTTTGGAGCCCATGCGACGAAATGGACTGCACATCTGATCTGGCTGCGATGTTGTTGGGAGACTAACAGTTATCACAGAATGCATGTTATATATAGAGTTTTTTTACTGGTATACAGTACCGGTGTGCATACGATTCCCCATGCTGCTTGTCTCTGTTTGGGACAAGCAGCACGGGGAACCGTATACTAAGACTATTCAGATGCCAGATGGATCTTCAAAACGAAAAGCTGACTCCCCATTGTGTTACGATTTCTCTTACAAAATGCTTGGGGACCACTGCGCACACACCGGAGACGAAAATTGCCCTGTCATCACTGCTGAGTCGAGCTCCATGCCGAGCATGAACCTTCCAGCCGGGTCCGGGTGCCCAGCGTATGAGGCGCCGGTATTGCCGGTCATTGGAGCGCAGTGGCCGTCCATTGGTCTGGGTCTGACCGGTTTGAACCGAGGACGGTCCAGGCGATGTGTTTGAGGACGGTCGCCTGGATGTCTCAGGATGGTTGGTTGCCCAAGCTTTGTGGGAGTGTTTGTTTTTTCCAGACCGCTTGCCTAACAACTGGAATCCCTTCTTACTCGACGGACACATCGACCTCTTGAAGACTTGGGTTTTCGTTTGCAAGTTACATTCCCGTCTGGTGAGGTAGGACCCATCTGGGTGCATAGTCATTTGGAGAGGTCAGCGTGTCGAAAAGACAGATAAATGCCAGAGTTTGTAATCTTTTCCCAACAGTTTCAAGTATTTTTGACATTACGTTCACGTGCATCCTCAAAATGTCTCCTGCACCGAGTGCCAGTGCTAAACGTTTATATAGATTATATAGTATCAGTATCACTACAGTTCCCCAGACACGAAGCAAGAACTCTGGGAAGAGATCTATGGGATTGGGGGCAGGCGATAGTAGTTTTGAAAAGATCGGTGTGACGGTGTGACTGTTTAAACAGCCAATTGATTGGCTCAGGGCTAAGTGGGCTCTTCTCCACTTAGTTCTTCAACGCACCTTTCTGTACCCATGGACCATCTAGGCTTATCATACGTTTCTTCATACAAGCTGCTTGCATTCATCATCCTCTTCGTGCACTGATCTTTCAAAGAGCGGCCAGCTGCAGGCATTCCAAAAAGCTGGGAAACAACCTTAGCTTTCAGGCATGGCTTGGAAAGGACCTCGGTGTGTTGGTTGCCTGGAAAAGAGACACATCACAGCTGTTGGCTGTTTGCTCGGGGTGTGACATTTGTTCTTGCCGGACATCCCGAAGCAAATGTCAGACACACCTCTCAGAGTATAATTTTGGTGGTCCAAGCTTGTAATTATCAGGTCTTGATCTCATGATGCGAAAAGTTCCTCTTCGCAAGTGTTCACGGCCTTTGCCTCGTTGTTCTGATGCTTTTCAGACTTTTGTCATTCAGTTTCTGTGATTGCAGACTACTTCTGGGACAACTCTGAACCATCAAGCAAGAGGGCTTCATGGAAAGTCATTTTCAGTGTCAGGAGTGGGCCATGTGTGCTGAACTTCTGCAAGTTTGCCTTTCAAGCACCAGGGGTCCATAACCAGCAGTTGGTATATAGTGATTCTGCGTATCATACTTTTTGACCGCAAACCCAAAGGACTTTCTTTTTCGGATGTCACTGCCCAGTGGCGAAAGGATTTCACTGTGAGCAACACGCGCATTGCGATGACGCCTTAGAACCACCCCGAACAGCGATCTGCATCGGTCTGAAACTCGCGTTTTTGCAATCGGCTTCTCCAAAAGCGGATGAACAAATGAAGCAGTTCCGGGCCTCCCCCGACAGAACAGAGGTCAGTTCCGGTGGATCCGGCCAATTTGGAGACTGCGACCGCATGGGCCTTTCCGGAAGGCCTATGCCAATTTGCGAGCTCCGTTTGTGGCGCGTGAGAGGGCCCAGAAAAGGAGTCATACGGACCGCAAAAAGCATCTCAGCCAGATGGAAGGGCTCTCCAGCTTGACATCATGGAGGAAGAGGTGCTTTCCTTTATGAGGCAGAAGACGTTGTTTTTCTAATTCTCTTTTCAGATCAGCTTTCATCTGATCTTGGGATAGGAAGAGCCTCAGTAAGAGCCTCATGGATTGTTCCAAACATCTAAACTTCTGACTAATGGTTGTCACTTCTCTCAGTTAAGGACGTGATCGAGTAGCTTGATTGATGTTTTTTCCCCCTGCCTAGGATCTTCCACTTTGCTCGGATTCATTTTTGATTCTCCGAAGATCCCCCCAAAGGCTGGCATGTAGCTTCTTGATGCACTTGTTACATCTTGTTACTAGTAGCTTCTTGTTCCTAGTAGCCTAGTAGCTTCATGTAGCTTCTAGCTACTAGTAGCTTAGCTTCTTGTTACTGGTATCAATCGGAGATCGCCATCGACTTGTGACTTCCGTTTTTCGCCCATCGAGAGCCCGACGGACGCGGAACCCGGGCGGGCGATGTGGTCGAATCCGAAGAGTAAACGTGGCCCTGAGGTGATCCTGGTGGGCGCAACAGATTTAGGTTGAGGCTTTAGGCAGGTTAAGGTTGAGATTAGAGGAAAGAACCAAACATAAACATTTTAAAGAACTATGATCTGCAAACATCTTCCGAGTGCGAACACCCAGAGATTGGGAGTGGATGGCCAGGTCCGGACATGTTTTTGGCTGAAGCGCTCGACGTTGGACCTTGTTGGTTCGGACGTGACAGTCCGTTTATTGGGGTTGAACCCAGTAGCTTTTGGTCCTTCTACAGGTCCTTCTTTCGGTATCGGTCTTCGACCCACGGATGTCCCAGGTCGAGATGTGCCGATCCTCCCGAAGAACCCCAGGGCTGTCGAGCGGGAGGCGTACAAGGCACGAGTCGAGGCACGGAGCGCCTTCGCCGCTTCGCCCCGTCCGCCGACGCGAGCTGAGGAGGATCTGAGGATGGCTTCTTGGATGGCTCATATGTTAGCACTGTAAATATATGTAAATATAGTGACCCTATAGGTTTTTCATTTGGGGATTTTAGGGTAGTAGGATGTAGTACTCTTTCAACCAGATGTGATCCCTGGGAAAAGGCGCCACTCAGTCCGGCCACTGCAGTTGTCCACACGCCGAGATCTCGAGGTTTCCGAGTCACAGCGCCGGTAGGTCTCGTTCCGATGGTTTTCTGATGTTTTCTGCTGTCCACAAAGCGGGTGCAAATAGCTGGTTGGGCGGAGCGCGGTCATTCCGCCGGAGTTGCGTGGATTCAGCCCCTTTTTCCCATGGCGTGATTGTTTGCGGTGGTTTGAGGTTGGCAAAGTGAATCCAACCAGTTGCTCTCCAAGTCTTTTTCAAACGTTTGGGAGTTTGGGATCAATCCACAGCTTATTGGGGAAGCTCCAAACAAACTTCAGTGAACTTCATCCTAAAACAAATCCCAGTCGAGTTGCCACAACCTGATAATTATACATAATTTCGGATAATGCAGCTGGGCACCATCGGTGAATTGGCCACTCACCTGTTCCGTAGCCATGGTCCCAGTCGTTTGTGAGTCGTTTTCTGCGTTTTTTCGCCGCTTCGCTTGGAAGGAGGTGTGGGTCATGCCTGAGAAGCTCCGTCCAGAGTCATTGCCCCCTGCTGGGCAGTTCAAGGAGAGGCAACCTGCGACCTCAAGATTGACAAACTAAAATCATTTGCACTGATTTCGATCCATTTGGCGAGCGCATTTTTTCGATTGGACACCATGCTCCTGCTGAGACTTACTCCTTATACATTTTGTACATGCAAGGTCTCTTTTGGGGATTTGTCTTTTGGGCTTGATGAAGAATCTGGGCTCAGTAGTCTTATGATTCTACTGGGGCCGTGGGGCAGCTTCCCGAACCTCAAGAGGTCAAGCCAAAAACACACGCCAAGAGGTCAGAGACACACGCCTCATCTCCTGGTTTCGTATTCCTTTGTCTTCCAGGGTCGGTGCAGGGTCGGTATCCTGAGGCAAACCCACATGACACATATGCATGGTCTTTCTTCACTGTTCGCACGTATGAAGTCATCCAATCAATGGAATTGGAGGTTGGAGGCCATCGCTAGGCTGGCTGGAGACCATCACTACTTGTTTTGCGTCAAACACATCGAAACACAACCCTCCGACACCTGAAACCGCCAGCTCCGTCCGAAACCAGGAGCGGCGGACCGGAAAACGCCTGGTGGCAGAGAACACCAACACCCTGAGCACGGGATCTGAGTGCGACCGGCCAAAGGCTGGGATGTTGGAATGTTGCTGGTATGTGGCTGCTATATACTGTCTCCAGTCTTGCCAATTTGATCCTACTTGTCTTTGTACTAGTTGGCTTATGTTGGCTTGGAGGTCCCTGCCTCTTTTGGCAAATCCAGACAGATCGCTGGCTCATCCTTTTTTCAGTGCTGGCTGAGTCAGAGGGAGTCCAAAGGAGTCCGAGGGAGTCCAAGGGTGTCCAAAGGCCTGAGAGCAAGCTTGTTGATGGTTTCTTGCCTTTGGAATTGATGTTCCAAATCTTTGGGACACATGCCAGAGTCCAGAGGACAAGAAGCCATTTTGGATCGGTGTCAAACTGAGGCCATGTGGACACCTTGATTTGGGACAGTGACATTGATGGGCGTGGACCTTAGAAGGTTCATTTTTCTGTATTTCAACTATACTAGTTAGTAAAATATGAATGCAATAGCTCAATCTGCTGACAACAGTACTATTGTTGAAAGCACCTGATTTTCTCAAAAGTTCAACCTTTATCTCTTTGAGCACCAGTACTCCATGCTCTGTCGGCCGCGACGAATGAGACAGAAACGGTGCTTCAAACACTGTCGATGCTCGTGGAGGTCATGTTCCTAGCAACCTGTAATCTACTGTAATCAATGCTTTCTTAAGTTTCCCGAATCAAGCTGGATACCTCACAACCCGTCAAGCACACCAGATTGCCACGGACTGAGCTCGGACAACAGATCAGGTTCGTTGACAGACATGGCCAAAGCTCAAAAGTATATGTAACATTATTAACGATCTCTCTTCTCGTGCTTTTTTTGAATATATAGATACAGTTTGTATAAATACAAACATCATCAAACATCCTTTCAAGGTGGTGTTAGGCTTCACCAAGGATCGCGTGTTTCAGGTCCAGGCAGAAGGGGCCTGGCTTGGAGCTGGGGATGGGATGGCTTCAGGATGTGCATGCACTTAAGTCCTTCAAAAGCTGGCTTGTTTGGCGGGTTCCTAAGTTTCCTCTGAGAGATTTCGGGCCTTTGACCTACTTGGGCTTTCCGAAAGGCTTTCTGCGCACTTGATGACTTCTGATAAATCGCTCGGACTGAGGAGCGATGGCATTCTGAACCAAGCGAGCTCAGTCATCTACAAAGGAGCAGCAGGGCTCAACGCCAAGGCCCGACACGCCCAAGTCGAACGCTGAATTCCTCTTTTGGAGCGGAACGCGAAGGACGTGAAGGACACCTTCATTTTGAGACAGGAGACCCTACTTGTAGATCTTTCAACCCGTCAAACGCTGTCACAAGGTGATTTTCCTCGGTGGACGAGATAGAGCTCCGAGCAGAGTGTGGGTGATTTCTTCCCTCACAACTCGAGTCATCATTGTTTGTTGCACCAACGTGTTCCACATGATGCCGAAGATGTCTTCCACAAAGTGAATTTCATCAAACCATCGTGCAAAATGTGTATGTCATGATAATGTCCTAGTTTCCACGTAGTGCAACTTTTTACAACTAATTACTACCTCTCGCACATCGGTCCAAGTCGATGTCATGCCTGGACTCTCTGGTCCAAACATGGGAATTCCCCAGGTGAAAAGGATCAACATGCACTACCAATCATTCACGGGGATCGTCCATGTCTCAAGACGACGATCCGCACCAACACCAAAAAGTTTTGCCAACAGGACTCGTGCCTGTGACGAAACAAAGGGCGTGGCCCCCTCGATGCACCCTTGCGGTAGGATGCGGCCACACGCGCGTGGTCTGGTCGAGTTAAAAATTCCAGGAACTGGCTGCGCATCGGCACTCTTATGCAAGTATAACAATGCTTCACGAATCACTTTGTAAAGGTCACGAAATGTGATCTGCTCTTGGTCGCCCTGGATACGGTGCCCCGCCGCATGAAATGCGACTGCCAACTCAGTAAACGAATATGACTCAGCTTTGTGACAAAGCCAGCGCAGATTTTGAAAGAACTTCCTGACTTGGGTCCATGTCTCGACCCCATGCTTCCATGACTTCGGCGCTGGCATGTCATCTGGGATTTTTGGTTTCCAGGAGAACTTTGCTTGTGGAGTGGTCCAATGCCACTGCGGGTAAAGCTCCATAGCCTGAGTTTCAGTGAGATCATCTGGAACTTCTGCGACACCTTTCTCGGCAGGGTCGGGAACCTGTGTATCACGTGTTGGCAACAAAGAATGGAGGTGTACAAGCCATTGCTGATGCCTGTAGGCAGCATGTTTCGCCTGGTTGAAAGTCTCTGAGCACACCGGAGCAAGCCGAAACGCCAAACGCTTGGCCACACGGTCAGCAGTTCTGTTTAACAGAATATGTTGCACTGTGGTGCCACACAACAGTGCCTGTGACTCTGTCAATAAGTTGTCAGCAACTTCCTCGAGCTGGTGTGCAGGAATCCAACTGGTTTGAAACGGCTGCGGATGTGTCTGTCGCCTAAGCAGCACAAGCTCACGGAAACGACCCCACCATTTCTGGCACAGCCACGTGGCCTGAATGCATCCGTTTTGCAGGAAGTCGTTAATCTGATTGACGGCAGATTGGCAGTCCGAATACACAATAACTGGCGAAGTGGCTCGAGAGAAAGCACTGAAAATAGCCCATAACTCTGTGACAAAGGAGCTCAATGCCCAATGATTAACCATGCCGCACGAAACTGTACTTCCATTTGCATCAATGATGGCAAAAGAACCGGTTGCCAGCCAGAAGTTGTCACCGTGTATCACAGATCCATCTGTCCACAAAGGCGTTGGTTCGCCAGGGCAGAATTCATCCGTAAAGATCAACTCATTGGACTGTTGATGCAACAGCCGCTTGCGTGCAATAAAGAATGGATGTTCTATATGACCAAGCGTCAAAAAGTTCTCTCCAAGTTGGTGTGGAACTGGTGCCCCAATGTTTTGATGGAGGCTGGCACATTCAATCAGGTGAGGCATCGATTCCTTAGTTCGCTTGCAGAATCGGCACAACGGTGTGTCGACCCACCCTGTAGCTGCCATACGATCATTGGTGAGGCAACAACCTACAACCACTGATTCAAATCTTATAGAATTATGAATGCCGTCTGTGACATCCCGACCAGTGGCAAGCGAAATGCCAGTCAACTGATGATCAAAAATACCTTTTGGCTTGAGAAAGTCCTTACGTGGTGTTGTGGATGCCTTTTGATAACACGCATGCCTGCAAATTGCCTGCAGGGCTCTTCTGGCATCCTGGGGTGCAAGCTGATCAAAGCAAACCGGTTGAGACCCAAAGGCGGATAACCGCATACACTGATCAAGCTGAATTCCAAGAGTTCCACAAGCCTCTTGGAGTCGGCTGGCAAGTGAATGGGGCAAATTTTGCGTACTCTGAAAAGTGCGCAACAATTTGGGAAACAAATCGGGTTGAAGAAAGCATGCACGAAGGGCCTCAATCACAATGTGATAGGCACACGCAAAGGTGGGCTCAGTCCTATGTGGCTTGGAAAGGACAGCCTGAACAAGCCATTTGGAACGCCACTTCGGCCGTCCAAACCAAAGGCACCGCACAATCGCATTTTGAATCTGATCAAGAGCTCGTTTGGGAATGCGAGAGATGTGAGCACCGTAGGTCAAACGAGGAATGACCTTTGCACCAATTAGAAAGGATTTTGTCGCACGTGGAACGGGAAGTACCGCAATGTTATCAATGTCTGTCAAAGCACGTTTGAGTGCTTTATCAGAAAATCCAAACGGGGAGTTGGAAGAAGTGTAGATTCTGGCGCCTAAAACTTCAAATTCGTTCACAACTGCAAAGTCAGAAAAAGCAAGCTTAAGCTGTTTCCTCCCACTTCTATTATTACTCCAAAGTGAAGATTTATCTGGGTTGAGCTTCTGACCGACCAATGCGTCCCAGACACGTGTCACTCGAATCGCAGTCTGCAAATGGTGTAAGTTGAGAATGCGGCGCCACAAATAAGCATCGTCGATGTATGCTCTCACCGAGATTCCTGGTAAATTTTCAATGAGGTGATACCAGACTTTATTGTAAGCATTCATTGCAAGAATCGAGAAAGAACAACCCTGAGCCACCCCATTGGGATGGGTGGTACCAACAGGTGTGGTCCAACTTCTATATGCCATGTGTTTACGAAGGCCTTGATAAAATCTCAAGAAAACACTGACCACATATATCGGAATGCCGAAGGCGACAAACAAGCAAGCCGCAAACTGCGGAAGAATGCGGTCAAACGCTTTGGATTTGTCAATTTTGATCCCACACACAGTCTCCTGATCAAGATTGGCGACGTCAAGCTCGAGGCGCACTTCATTATAGAGACTGGACATGGCTCGGTGCTTGACACCCCCGACAATAGCATTGGGAAATGCTTGGTTCTGCCACTGCTGAAGCTGTGCATACCTTGCTCCTGTGTATGCTAGCAAAAGTGGAGGAATAATGGTAATGAGACGCTTGTTCATCGGCGAAGCAGTTCCAGGCTTGTTGAGGATGACCTGTTTAACATTGACTAAGGCTTGGGGAAGCGGATCCTTTGACTGTTCAAGGGATTGGAAAAACAAGGCCAATGCATGAAAACAAGAGGGATGCAGCATCTGAAGTTCTTGAGTACGCCAACCATCAAGGCCAGGGGCCACGTGTGGCTTCCGTCTTTGGATGACCTGATACAAGTCTTTAGCAGAAATGGGGGGGAGGTCTGCCTTAACCTGTTTGCCATGTATATACGGCCACACGACCTCAAGCATTTTGATGGGTGTTGCAATGGCATCTTCCGGCTGAGTAATGATCTGGCCAGCAGAATCGAGAACTAAGTTCGGGGGTTCATCCTGGGCTTTCTGGCGGAGGTGCTGGAAAATGTAGGCACACCCCCCTTGCGCCGACTCCTGAATCTTGCGTTTCCAGCTTTGGATCCGCTTGAGACGAATGCGGCTGTCCAACGTGGTGGCAAACTGTTCAGCCCACCGACGCACGAAAAAGACTTCAACAAGCGTTGGTGAATCCGGGGTTGCCCACACAATGGACGGTGTCAACTTGTGAACAATATTAAAGGTCCTACGAGCAAGTCTCTTGGTGTTGAACACATCTTGAGGCGATCCGCTCTCCCTGGAAAGCCTTACAAACAACTCATCAAGCCGTCGAATGAGTTTGTACAAATCAAGGGAGACCTGTGTTGCAGCACATCGAGTCACCAATTGTTTGGGGCAGATTCTTTTGTTGACAAACTGTGGCGAAGCAGCACGAACCCGGGGGCCTTTACCCCACTGACCCCCTTCATTCAACAGAGATTTTTGAAAGAATTCATTCACCACCTTCCATTTCAGCTCATGATCAGAGGCATCATGAAAAGCTGCCTCAAACTGGTTCTGCCACAAAGGAGAAGGGTCCTCACTCCATGGGACGGCTTGAATCTGTGTCGTATCAATAGGGGCAAATTTATGGAGGATAAAGCCAGTTTGCAGGAGCGACGCCCACCGAAAAGTAACCTTTATGGGGCGATGTTGGCGCCCAAAATGCTCAAGGACACGAACATCTTGCATAGCACAAAAGGCAACTTTATTGAGAAGCACACCATCTATAGAGGTGCAACCCTCATCCGCCCCTGAAAAGCTACAGTCCTTGGAATACGTGTATGGCCTTGTCACCGAACCCCATTCATCAGTGGAAGACAGCGGGTCAATCCACCCATGAAAGTTCAAGGCCCCTGCAAGTGACTCATACGACGCGGGCACTGCTTGGAAATCCCCTGACAGAATAACAGGGATATCACCAAATTGAGCAACCAAGGTGAGAATATCAGCAAACATCTTGTCATTTTCTTTGTGAACCCGAGAATCGCTTGAAGCACCTGTGCAAGCGTACACACAAAGAATCAAAGCTTGAATTTTGGAGGTGACCTGATACCACGCAGCAGCAAACCTCTTAGTTTGGAACAAGCAATCAAAAAGCCCCGTTTGATCATGCTTCGGTTCAAAAGGTGTGATGGCAACATCAGGGCCTAAAATGGCAGTGCCACCACATGGCGTCTTAGTGGTGCCATTTGCATGCCACAATCCCGGCAACAACTGCCCCAAAATGGGTCGAAGGCCAACGGCTTCAATATTGCGGGTAGATGTGCGAACATTGTTCTTACCTATTCGGGTCTCTTGTAAACACGTTATGTCGGCACCCCATGATTTCCACAACT